CGAGCGCTGAAGGCAGCCATCTCTGGCCACACATCGGCCGCACCCAACCCTCTGCCCAAACCTCCGCGTACTTTCGCGCACGACGTCTATCTTGAGCTAAAGTTTGGCAAAACTAAATCCATTGACAATATAAACAGTGCCGCAAATAATGAGAAATCAATGCCTATATATTCCATACCAAACAAAGACAATAAACTGAAGAATAGAAAACCTCGATCTCATAGCGATTCCCTAGTGATGGACATCAATAAGTGTGACACCAATGATAACATTTACGACGATATTGTGATTGACAAGAGATTGACTACATTTAAATCAAAAGTATTAAAACATTTGGCGTGCCTTAGAATCAGACCACGATGAAACACTCATCAGTGTATTAATTGTTTTGTATATATTAAATATTATTGTTATTACCGTATTATACCAGTTATCCAATAATATATCATTGTTATATAAATTGTAATTATATTTTGGTTAAACCTTTTAATATAATGTCTAATTTTTAAAGAATTATGAATCTGATACTCTTTTTTAATACAATAATAAGTTTTATAATAAAATACACTAATAATTGAAAACATTATAAATTATTTTATTGCCAAAAGTTTAATGCATTTATTTGATAAGAGTTATGATATATAAATCAAAGTTGAGATATGAATTCCTACACATTACAGGTATTCCTATAACAACAGTTAGTATCGCATTAATTATATGCTATTTCTATATTAGTTGTGATAAAAATTATTTTTATCAAAACTTTATTATGATTTACAAACAAAAAATGCGATTTAATTTAAGCGAAACGGATTTATAGGTAATAAATATGATAAAAATTGGTTTTTACTGGTCTTCTATGGCTAACCCTATATTCCAAACAATAATACATTGAATCGAGAGATAAATCTTTGCATTAATCCATTTCTTTGTGCATCAAATTCAATATAATCTGCATATAGTGACAACACAAATAAACATCTGTTCTAAACCCTTAAAACAAATATTATCATCATTTTTAAAGTAAATTACACACAAAAATATGGTTATAAAAATATAGAATTGACCTAGCACAAATCTATGTGATAAAATAATTGATTACTAATAACGGATGTTGACTGTAATGATTAAAATAGCGCACAATGTTTACTGCATTTGAATGCAACGCAAAGAAAGTATGCGAAGACTGAAAGCTTACAAACTTTCACAACACATACGCATTGCAGGCAAAGCCTAACCAACAGTACGCCAGAGAGTGTGTGAGAGAGAGAGCTCTCACTGTGAGAGAGGGATAGCGAGAGAAATGGGAAACAAATTGACAGATAAAAGAGTGCATCGTTTTGGAGCCACTTTTGGCGACTCAATCAATGCATCCAAACATATATCCAAACAGTTTTCTCAAACCATATACTGTTTATGGCATACAATTAGTCCATTTCATTGAATTAAACCTAAAGGATATGGCATTTGGAGGACAGAGACTGAGAGAGTGAGAGACAGTCATTACCGGTAATGAAGGCAAATAGCATTCAAACCAAAACTATGTGTTGAGAAAAGTTAGTGTAAAGTGTGTGTGAAGTGCATCGGAGAGCAAAGCGTTACATAATTGTAGTCATAATTTGTGTAAATATATAGCGAGAAAAGTGAGACATAGAGTGAGAGGGAGAGAGCGAGAGAGGGAGAGAGCGAGAGAGCGAGAGAGGGAGAGAGAGAGAGAGGGAGAGAGAGAGAGAGAGAGAGAGAGAGAGAGA